ATGCAAATATTCACTGTTAGCCAAACGACCACAACCAGAAATAATATGTCTAATGGATTCACCAGGACTATGACATGCCCGACATATGTCAACCGTCCCATCCTTAATTATATATTTCCGGTAGTTATTCGTAAGGATAACTTCGTCCATAATTGCACAGACAAATCCTTCAGTTTCTCCAAAGAGATTACTGAATCGTAGCCAAGACACGGACGCTAGAAAATCTACACTGGGCCCATGAAGGGCCCGGAAGAAGCGTCCGTGGAGCTCCTTGCTATGCCATACCTCCTTGCGATCATTGACGCTCAGTACCACAGGTTTGCGCCAGTTCTCTTTTGCCAAGGATAGCGGAGTGAATCCATTGTCCACCGCTGCTACTTCTCGATGCATACCCTCGTTGACTTTCAGGAAATATTCCCTGAGGCTGCACACCTCACGGTTGTGAAGGGTCTTAGCATTTAATAAGCCTCGACCACCACACTTCCGCGGGATGTACAACCTCATGACCGACGAACGAGGGTGATGCATGCGATTTGCAGTCAGCAGGGTCCGGACTCGCCTATCCAGGGTGTCAAGTTCAGTCTGAGTCCACTTGAGTATACCAAAAGAATACATTAGGACTGGCATGACCCAACCGTTAAAGGCTCGCACTTTGTTTCCACCTGATAAGGAACTTTTCAGTACCTTATTCAGGCGGCCAAAGAAGCGCTCCTGTAACGATTGCTTCATGTCCGGTCCATTAATGCCTAATCCTTCTGACATACCCAGGTACTTGTATGTATCGTTTGCGGAGAGTGATCTCAGCTTTGTGAAATCTGAGAGTTCTAGTCCCTCAGATTCCTCAATCCCTCCTCGCTTTACATGCATGACCGCACTAACTAAATTTTTCAGTTAGAAAATAATAATAATAATATTAATTATTATTATGCTTAATGTAAACAGAATAGACAGCTTTATACAGGGTGACTTGTAACTCGACGTATTCCTCTCGGGAGGTGATAATACAACTAATTTCCTACATAATTAGACCCTGAGGTCCCTGGTCCGAATGTGGCTAATTTCTGAGATATTCAACATTTTTAGTTTTTGTTAAAAATCCTAAACTAACTAAAAAAACATCAATGTAAAAGAAATTACTGGTTACTTTTAGAAATTCTTACTAATTCTTTTCAAAATAGCAAGTAAATTAGTATAAAATTTTGTTTTCACCCACTAATGACAATGACCTTTATATGGACTGTGGTGCCTTTATATTTTTCGATTCCGGTTTTGGCAGTTGATTTGCTGTGGAACAACTGATGCAAAATAACATTACAAACAAAAAAATATGTAGGGTCTTTTATCAAAAAATCAGTCCGAACCGAGCTAAATCAGTTCATTTGAAAATAGTGCTAATATTATTCCTGTTATTTTGTTGATGGAAGGTAACCGTACATAATGCATATTACTTCATTTACTTGTCAGAAAAATTTTGTAATATAAATATTTATAAACGATTTCATGCAATAAAATAAGGCTTAGTGTGAACTAATTACTTTTATTTTTATACCACGACGATGGCAAAAAAGCACACGACCCACCTGATGGTAAGCGGTTACTGTGGCCTGTGTACGCTTGCAACACTTGGGGCATTACTTGCGTCTTGCCGACCCTTAAGAAACCTATTCACTCCCCTCTTGAAGAACCCCATGTTGTAGCCCACTGCGAAAACCGCGGCAGGGAGTTCATTCCACAATCGGAGGGTCCGTGGGAGACAATTCCTCTGAAGCCGAACTGTACGGGACCATTTAGGTTCCAATTTGTGAGCGTGATCTCCCTGTCGATGGCGAGCGGTGCGATGATAGAAAGTGGCCGTGGGCATCCTATCAAACAATTCCGCAGAACACAACCCATTATACAAGCGGTAGAACACGCACAAGGAGGCAAAATCTCTCCTTAGACTTAAGTGGTCGATAGCGCTCGTAAGTATAGGATCGTCAACAAGTCTTACAGCTCTCCTTTTAACAAAGGAGAGCTGTTGGCGTGAAAAGGTCCAAGCTGGTATGCTGGCGCTCCTGCCCAGAGCTGAGAGCAGTACTCCATATGGGGGCGAACTTGCGATTTATATAAAAGCAGTCTTTGTCCCGGCATGAAGTACCGCTTCGCTCTGTTTAGCACACCGAGTTTTTTAGATGCCAGTATGGCCTTGTCTTCTAAGTGACTACGGAACTGGACGTCCCTAGATATGTCGACACCAAGGATACCTATACTTTTGGAGATGTTAAGGGTACCGTAGTGTCTTGGAATTTAGGAGCCACAAACTTATTTTTTTTTTTTTGTTATAAAGCCACGGAGTCAGAACAGAGTGTATTTAAATAAATGAAACATTAACCGGCCATTACTCAAGTAAAAACAAACACATCGCTTGATTGGCTAGCGTCTCTTTATATATGTATACGGTTTATGGCCCATTATAGATTTTCATGACCAATTTTCTTTTAGACGAAAACCCGCATAATACTTCACTGAGCCCTATAATGAAATGCTATGTTAGTCAACTACGGCCCCAGTAGCGAATTGAGTAGCGGCAGTCGTAAAACTAGAAAACACATTTTTCTGTCGACTCCTCTCGATTAGTAATGATTATAACTACAATTAATCTACAGTTAGCATAACATATTGTAGAAAAATATCGTCAAAAGTGATGGATTATACATTGACTGATATAAAATTGTGCTCTCATCTGACGTATAGTCCATCACTTCACAACCAGCTGATGATTCCCTTTTTTTAAAAGATTATGCTAACTATTGTGTAGATTAGTTTTCAATCAGAAGTAAACGTCTAAAAAAATTATAATTTGTTAGATGTTTGGGCGGCTGCCAATACTCAACCCACCATTGGTACCGCAGCTAACGCTTACGTACGATCATGACACAACTCCTTGAAGCATCCCACAAGTTATCGACTGAGAGAAAATAGCTGACAAAAATTAGTGCCTGGCATATCATCCTTATTGGGTTGTGATATGGTGTACCTGTGCTGTGCCAGGCGTACAGTGGCGCGTAATGTTAAGTCAGGAATTGTGATAAAAATAAGAATAATTTGAATAAAAATAGCAATAAGAAATTTTCGACTCCAACTCATTTCAACGCTCATAACTCAGTCCGGACTGAGATTTTGATATATGAACCCATAGACAAAATCGTTTGTAATGTCATTCTAGATAATATTTTTCATAAATCATCGATTGCCGTCAGAAAAAAGAAAGGCACCAATTTTATTCAATGCCCTTTGTGTTACTTTTTTGTTAACAATATAATATGATATACAATATAATTTTTTTCTGTTGCCTAAAAATCATATCCACTCGCGCGCCTCTCGTACACACGGGTAAACGCGCGTTGTCGTACACACGGGTAAATATTTTAATAGAAAAGCGAATTAACTATTCTGTTCAGTCAAATAAAAACCGGGTTGCAAACTTGAAACTATGCGTGACAGAAAAAATATCCAATCGGTGCGCGTTTCTCGTACACCCGTGTGTACAATTGCGTGATGGGCACTCAACTCTCTCGTACACCCGTGTGTACGAGAGAGTTGAGTGCCGGCAGAGGAAACAGAGGCGAGAGGATATAAATTATCTTGATTTGGACCAGCAAAACGGTGTCACGTCTGTTTGCACAAATTCCAGACTCCGGTGTGCTGTTACTAAGAAATTCCTAACAATAACCAGCCAACCGTGTTCAGCGGTCAACTCAAAAGTTTAGTCTGTTAAGTTTGATCGACCGCACCGATCAAGGGTGGAAGAAAGACCATCAAGGGAGCTTTTATCCCGTGGCAATAAATCTTTAAAATTATATTATGTTATATACTCAAAAATAATAATTGATCTGCTTAATAGATTTGATAGATACTTAAATATGATAAAAAATAAATAAAAAGATATAGATATAAAAACCCTCACTTAACTATTATCATAACTACTAGCTTTTGCCCGCGACTTCGTCCGCGTGGAATAATGACTTCTGGCAGAATTTGAGTTTTTGAATTAGTCTTTTCCAATGTTTATTGGCTATGGCTGTAGGAAAAGCCACCTGAATCGATTCAGTACCTAATAGGCTCAGAATTTGTTTATTGTGAATCTAACACTCCTATCCAAATCCAATCTAACATTGGATGATATGCCTCTTTGAAAATTGTGTTAATGGGGCCATAATGAAGCCCACGTACTGCTGAGCTTAGCACTGGATATCCAACATTACGTTAAGACAGTATAATTAAGATCACTGAAATGGATGCCCGCCCGCCGATTATCATTGAAGTTAAAGAACTGATACGATGTCGAAGAGCCAAAATATATGCTTGGGGCAACTTACCCGCTTTTCATTTTGATCGCATTTTATTTTTGTTAACTAACGACTGTCGCGTATATAAATTCATTGTAAATACTAAACACTTTTTATAGTTAGTATTTAATAGATGATATATATTTTTAAGTTTGTATAGATACTCATGGTCTGAACTATGGTGGGGCAAGGGCACCGTGGCTACGCCCATGGCTGAACTCATCGACAGCAAATGACCGACACTGTTTGACCTCTATCATTGCTAACAAAAAATGACGATCACAAGAGTGACCTAGTACAAGTTTTTTTTAGCGTTCTGATAGGCCTGCTCCAATGAACCAACCAATCAGAGGGCACGTTTACGTGGTGGCGTGTTGATCTCGTTGGAAGTGAAACAAGCTCGGACTAGTGTCTTACAGATCTCGATGTGTGTATATGTGTACTTTCTTTGTTTTTTGTAACATTGCATTAGTGTATTATGACTGCCTCGTTGGCAAGGGGTCTCGGGTTCGATTCCCGGGTCGGGCAAAGTACTACTGGGTTTTTAAAATTCTCAGTATTAGCACGGAGACTGGAAATGTGCCCGGTATATGGCAATAGGCTTACCCCCTATTACATGGGACTCATGACATAAATAGTGAAAAGTGAGTGTTACATTGTACAGTGGCATTAAGTGCCGTAATGTACACCTCTGCCTACCCCTTCGGGGAAAAAGGCGTGAAGTTATGTTATGTTACGTTACTACTTGTATGTGTTCCCTCGTCCCCCGCGCCGAAATTGACAGACTCTTTTGCATAGATGTTAAGTCCTCATAACATCTCTGTTGTGTTGGTTAAACACTTTATGGTGAATACATGCCCGCACACGCTTCCTTATCTCTCTGACGGTCATTCTTCAAATGAATGAGCGCCTTATTTCTTCAGCCTCGGAAAAGGAGGATCCTCCGAACAGGCGAGGTAGTTGTGTCTGACGGGCTTTCTGCCCAAGCCCAACGATTATTCGTTGGGACTTTCTATCCATGTTTATTCGCATGTAAACTCACAGGTGCGATGTAGAATTTGTGCTGTCGATTTTCTTACACGCGTCATCTGACTTCTGTCATTTGTCAATGTGTCATGATGAGACGAATTTACTTTGTGATGAATTTACAACAACCTAGTAGATCTTCTTTGTTTTTCCCTTACTCTTTCTTGTTCTTCTTTGTCCTCTCCTTCTAGATGCCGGCAACGCGCTTGTAACTCCTCTGGTTTTGTAGATGTCGCTTGGCATCGGGTGATGCGTCTGCTCGGTTGCCGCCCTGTTCTATAAAAAGAAAAAAAACCCACTGATTTGCGTGTGCAAGCTGCGTGCCGAACGGTGCAAATTGTCACAGTAATACAGTTTTATTACTCAATTCGATTGTGTTTCTCTAGGAGCGTTACTATTTTAATGGGAATTTAGATTAGTAAGTACCTACCTACTTACTACACGTACTAACCTTAGCTCTTTATTCATTACTATAAACACCAAGTCAATGCTATTAACAGCATGTGAATTGCTAGTTAAAATGTTTTGTTGTTTGTCAAGATTAACTTTTCGTCAGAGAGAGGTAAATATCTATAGATAGCTTTTTCATTTCTGATATTAATGAACATCGTGTAGAAACTTGGAAACATAAGTACCTATGTACATAATTATCGGATTCAAGACAAAACAAAGTTTGTCTATGTAAATAAAAACTTTGAGTATGGAGCTGATGCCTACATCTAAATCTGGTACTCACGTGGTCTAATGAACATAAAAATCAGCTAGATTATGCAGGTATAATTTATTGTTAAGTAGGTACTTAGGTACATAATTACTACATTACTCCTTAGCTATTTTTATCACGTTATTAGTGGTTGAGTGTTGTGTCATCCGGGTCAGTAGGACAATACTCTGAATACTCACATGTGGATTTTGGATGAAGCATATCAACTGGTGTCAATAAAGAATCATCTTTCCGCAAAACGTTGGCCAAATTATTTGTTTAACTACTGACGTGGGTGTCTCATAGACGGCGTGTTCACGAATATAAGAATTTTCCAAAAACCGTTCAAATAATTGTATTGTAGTTAAGATTGTAATATATATTTTTTTATAAGTTATGCGAAATATTTATGTTTTAAGTTTATAGAATTTGAATCAAAAACCGCTGATTTTATTCGAAAAAGTTGTTTTTTTTGCACTTCCTTAATAGAATTATAATGAACCGATCATACAATACAAGTGAATATTGTGCAAATCAATAAATAAAAGTAATCCATTTCGATTATTTATTAAGGTGTTTGACATACGTCATGGGTAAACCACGTCAGGACTTGGACTTGAAGGTTAATGTAATGCCTACCATACGCGCCCGTCGGCACATTCAATTGACCAGTCGAAACATGGCTCTTCCACACTTGAAATTGATTACTCCTGGGGAACCCGGTAGCTCTCTTTCAAGGGGATAAGTCATTGTATGATTTTCCTCCTTCAAAACTAAAAAGGAACCCGGTGGATGTTGCAGCTCGAATCGGTAGATTGGGATTTTTTTTTTAAGGGGGGAAAATCATCGAATGACTTCTCCCACCTGGGTGAGGCGAGAGGGAGTGTCAGACTCTTACTGACTAAAAACCACCCCGTTCCTTCTCCTGCACGTCGAGCCGGAGCCCCGGTTACCCTTTAGGTTCTCGTCTCGCGATCCCCGACGCCCGGTGTGTCCTTCGCGATGGCTGGGTTGCGAGGAGGCAGCGCTTTGCTGCCTCACGCGTCCCGCCTCCTCCTTAGCTAGCATGACTGCTTCGCAAAAGGAGGAGACGGCATCGCTTCGCATCATGACCCTCAGTAGGGCCGGGCGCGTATCACGTCCCTGAGGGCACGGCGGTGCTCAGCCCATGCAGGGCATTCCGCTACAGTGTGTTCCACCGTGTCCTCAGAGCGGTCCTCGCAGTGATGACACCCGGGCGTTTCCCTCCCGCCCCATCAGACACAGGTACCTCCCGAAACTTCCATGTCCGGTGAGGACCTGCGTCAGGCGGTAGGTGAGGACGCCGTAGCGTCTCTCAAGCCACTCTTCAAACCTTACCGCCGCAATGACATCCGAGCCCAGACCTCAGTTGCGACAGTCGTTGCTGCCATTCCGCCATGAGATCGCGTCGGAGCCTCCGCGCGCATGCGATACACGCGCGCGAGCACCTTCGCCTCCAAATCCCACGGCGGTAACCCAGCAAGGAGGTTCGCCGCCTCCCCGGAGATCGTGCGGTATTTGCGGATCATTCGGATCGCCATGACCCTCTGTGACATGAGCAGCGCCTGAGCGGGTCGCCGCATCAGGTTCGGCGCTCACACAGGGGCGCCGTAGAGGGCCATGAACCACACAACCCCGGCGTAGCACCTGATCCTTGGGAATTGGCCGTCGGTCGAAGCAGTTATGAATAAGTACGTTCTGTATGTTCACCTACATATTATAATTTATTAGGCTTTATTCATCAGAAAATAAAATAGGTCTGATAGTTTTGAGATCTTGCTGTATTAATCGCATAAGTTGCATACATGATACGTATCACCACTATGAGTACCTACCTGAAGTAGGTATCTAGTTGCTGGGGTGTCTTAGGCTACGCTTGGGGGCCCCAGCGTAAAACATATTCCAAAAGGGCTTTTGTAATATTTTTTTAACGTTGATACTACACTATGATTTTCTTCTGTGTCGTGGGTCCATTTACAAACATACAAGTTCACATACACAATACACCCAAACCTGAAACAACAGTTTATGGATTGTAGATAACAGAAAGATTTGCTCCGTGCGGGAATCGAACCCGCTACACGTGATGGTTGCGGGTCAGCCGGTTGCTGCGCAATGTGTAACGGGTGTCAATCCGTCGTAGAAATTGTTGGTGCTTCGGGCCCCCCTGAGGATGGGGGCCCTGGGTAAAGACGGCACTGCTTGGTTGCCCAACTTACTCCTATTGTATTTATTTATTCGAGTAGCTACATGTAGTGTGTAGCTGTAGGGTCAATTACTAGACTATTATGTGAATTCTAGTCCAGGAAAAAACAAAGGAATGAAACCAAATACGTAGCAATGCAAGCGAGGTTCCGTGCGATGCATGTGAGCAGGCGCGTCACGCTGGCCGCTCCTCGCGTTTATATAAGCGCGGCCGACACTGCGCCGCCGCTCAAACTGAATGTGCTGTTTCATGGGTACTCATACACGGTGACTACTCGATATGCCTCACATGGTGACCCGCGAGAAGAGTGACTACGGCAGGAAAGTGCAGGAAAAAGCGGTCATTGAAAAGGTCATACATCACGCTGATTTTATTAATGTATTTATTACGAAGAGATGAGCGACACCGCGACGTTCTTCGAATTACTTGTGGCAAAAATCATCAAATACATTTACTTAAATGCGGTACAAAGATATATTATATCTAAAGTTTAGGCTAAAGTATAACAATACACAACGACGCTAATTAACGACTCGACTAAACACATATCGCTCGTGGCGCAGAGACAGATGGCGATAGAGCGCTGCGCAGCCGCGGCGGCGGCGGCTAGCGAGCGGCCCGCCAGCCCAGTGGGTGGCGCAGGCCCTGCGGGGACCGCCGCACCGGGGCCCGCCGCGCCCCAGACGCGGCTGCTCACCCTGGAGCACGGCGAGCACAATGACTCAACACTGTACCGGTAACACTGTCTGCTCTACTGGGCCTAGTGGCACACAATAGAACGTACGATGTAAGGCGTTGGCCGCACTATGATTAAACCGGGTTTTAACCACGTAAATATGTGAAAAATAAAATAAAAAAGTACGAGCCGGTTGCATTTGCGGATTTTCGCGAGACTGATTTTAAAAATCGCCGCATAATTTTTAATGCACAAAGGACTTAATAGTTGAATATTGTGGGCCCGGAAAAAACCGTAGCGCGGCCTTAGCCTAATAAGTAAGGGAAGGACGGATATAACGGGGTCACGAGTGACGAGGCACAACGGGGCGTTAACAAATACGGGTAACTATGCACACTATAGTTGGGCCATTACAAACGTGCAAAATGTCACGTCAAAAGAATGTGACAATGCCGCGCAACTCGTATAGGTACGAGCTAGAGATCTGGGGGCTTACTCTTGAATCTAATTCCGATCGATCAACATTGATATTGTAAAATTTCGTAGTCTTAAGGTGCAACACTGGAGTCGCGGAGAACCAAACGGGTAACCGGGGCTCCGGCTCGACGTGCAGGAGAAGGAACGGGGTGGTTTTTAGCCAGTAAGAGTCTGACACTCCCTCCCGCCTCACCTAGGCGGGAGCAGTCATTCGATGATTTTCCCCCCTTAAAAAAAAAAGTAGCAACACTAGCGCCCATTGCATCCGTATTGCGTGGATATTGAATGAACTAAATGGTATTGGGTTCAGTTTTATATTCCGTACTCTGAATGCTATTTTAATAGCTACGATAGGGGTTGTATAGTTTTGACATTGAATAATTATTGAGACTTTATTGGATTGAAATTGCATTGACATTGAGATTGGTTTCAAGAGTAAGCACCCAGATATGAATCACTTCTGACAGTTAACGTTGGGTAACCCGTTCTGCCCCTACCTCGGGACACGATTTTCATAGAGGTTTCGGAAAATTAAATAAAATACATAGGTATATTATTTGATTGGTTACTTCACCAAAATCTAATTTATACCCCCCTTTCCCCTACCAACCATATACCTATTAGTAATGTTATAACTTAAATATGTCTTATTTAATAAGGAATAGGTACACTTGTTCGACAATCGCACCTATTCAACAATTAACGTTATTTTCTTTTAGGTTTGAAAAAGGCTGCTATTTACAATTTTGTCCTGGGCCATCTTTACTTGGGCGAAAAGTTTTTCTCTATACCAATTATGTGATGTCTGATAATCGTAAGTAAAGTGAATACATAATTATTTTTGTTTTCTTAGTTAGTTACCTACTCATAAAAATCAGCACTCTGAATAGTTATAAAGGTAAATATGACTCTTCTTTACCTTTCGTGCTGGTCTATTACGGGACTTCGGGAATGTGAAAAATTAACAAGCAAATGATAAAAACTAAAAAGCAAAAAATAACTATTATTACTTAGTCATACGTCCTTATAGGTCACCCAGGTACTGATAGATACGAAGACTTATGACTAATAATAGTTATATTTTGCTTTTAAGTTTTTATCATTTGACTTCAAAAAAAGGAGGAGGTACTATGTTCAGCTGTTTGTTTTTTTTTTAGCCGATTACTCCGCCGTTAGTGAAACGATTTCCAAAATTCTTGTTTTGTTCGAAAGATGATGGAATCCTAGGGAAGACGAGGGGAACTATCGAAAATTGTAGGGGCGATAGGATTTTTAACCACTAAAATTTTATAAGGGTCTGGAGACGACCTGATGATGGACCCGACAGACAGTCGAGATAACTCCTGAACGGTTCATATTAACTACCTTGTGTTTGGGCTTGATTAATTTGTATTGATGAGAACTTTACCTACACCTAAATCGAGTGGGACTGTCATTAAGGGCCTGATGATAAAGAAGTGTATCTAATTGTTAAGGGAACTCTTTAACTGTTTATAGTAACTACCTTGTGTTGGGCTTGTATAATTTTTATTGATTAGAACAGTAACTTTACACTTATGTAGATTATAACTTACAAAACGGATATATGCAGCTTTACACCGAAAATGATAAAATAATAAAATAAAAACTGCGTTTAAAAAACAGACTTCAACAAACCAAAAACCAATAACAAACAAAAAGTCAAAACTAAGAAGCAAATAATAACTAATTAGTACTTACTGATAGGTTACCCACTCACTGATAGGTTAGAAGTCGGTGCCATAAGCTCATAAATCATAATGATATAACTTAATGGCCACAAAATTGTAGGTAAAGTAAAAACAATAAAAACTAAAAAAAAAGCTAATAATAACGGGTAGGTACTACGCGGTGTCGGCGGACATTCCCAATCCGAATGGGTCGCCAACTCAGCAAAAAGCTGAGCACACTGAGCACCTAACACTGATTTTCAGTTGGCACCCCTGCAGTGACGCACGGACGAGAGCAACACATACTAAACTTGTAATCCGCATAATATGCCAAAATTTTATTTTAATTTTGTGGGTTCTAAGTGAAGTGTTCAGTCCAGATGTAGAAGCGATAGATAATGAAAAAAAATAGGTATAATTAAAATAGTGCACTGTTAAGTAAATAATTGTGTTCTATCATTAAATTGAAAAATCACAGATTATATTTATATGTAAAAAGAAACTACCAAAAATAATTATGAATGTGCTATAAATTAGGTGTGTCGTGCAGTACCTATTTGTAAAATAAAATAAAATACCATAAAGTCGCAATGTCCATCTCGAAAGTCGCGGGTGTCAGGGCGCCTGATTTCATGCTCATTTGCACCCTGATCACGCGCACCACCGCTACGATGGTATCTATATACTACGATGGTATTGTGTTCCTATTTTTTTTTTAATTTATTTTAAAGGGCTTTGTCTCTTAGCGACCACATTGCCCAGTTCGAGATAAACAATGATTAGTACTTATCATTAGCTTACGATCTACCTACTTATAACTAATTGATATAAATGTTTCGCTCCGTCAGATGTTGGATGAGCAAGAACAGCGTTACAGAAACCGATATCATTCGTTCTTTGCCATCCCAAAATGTGGATCCTAACATTTTCATTCCGGGCACATTCCATCAAGATATGGAAGACATCCTCGACCACTCCGCATGAATCACAACATGGCGACGGAACTTTTTTCATTAAATAGTTAAACTTATTTGATGGAATATGTCCGGAGCGAAGCCTTAAAGCAATAGTGACTAAAATTTTATTGAGATCACAATCAATCCATGGAACCCGAGGAATCTCTGACTGGATAGTCCGATACCAAATCCCCTTTTCTTTTAACCTTTCGTCAAAATACTCCTGCCAAAGATCAAAACACTTATTTTATGCTTTTCTAAAATAGTCCGAAAACAGTGGGGTAACATTCATGGTAACACCATCAACGCATGCTTGCTTGGCGAGCATATCCACCACATCATTCTCCTCACACTGTAGGTACGTGTGACGGAATCCATTGGAGACGAACTGTTCTACCATTGTGTTCCTATAATGTAATAGTTCCCGTAATGTAATTCCACAGCTGTAGTCATATTATGTATTAGTTTTAAATAATTCGTCATAATTATGGATTATTATAATATAATGAATGTATTTATGTATTTTATATAAAATAATGATAGTTGAATTTGCTAAGTCATGATAAGTAATATTGGTTTATAAAAATAAGATGTCCTAAATTAGCATACCTACAATGTTAAAGCTACTTTCGCCTGTGATACAGGGCTTTCCTAGTACAGGCATCTAACTGTATAAGGTCTACATCGCTTATTAAGATAATATTTTGTATTGTGCTCATTTTATCGTTGTAGATTAACCAGGAGTGTGGAATGGAATCATTTATTTTTTGTTTATTTAAAACCTTACCTAAAACTATCATTACAGTTTTCTCCATTGCGATAGCTTAGGTCTAAAACTAAATCTATGTACCTAATTACTAATTTAAACAAGACAAAACAAATTGAAAAAGAGAGCATACACAAACTTAATTAAACTTAACATTTATCCATAAAAAAAAGAGATAATACTGACGACTTTATGGTCACGAGATCAGCGGTGAACTACTTACTAAATAACAATAATAAAAAAATGAAATGAAATAATAATCTTAATTAACATTTAAATAACATAATATATACAACGTAACTTTTACGAATTCACTCACATTGCAACACAATACATCCACCCTTTCATGGACTTCGTTCACTACTCTCATAGCTCTAGTGAGAGGAGCCCTAGCTAGTAAGTTGGTTCTGGCTGCCGGCACAGCGAGGAGAGGCGGGCGTCTCCTCTTCCACACATAACGGTCCGGCACACATAGCTGCAGGTGTCGCAGCACCCCCGGATTATGCGCTACGCCGCGCAGCAGCTTCACCACATACGCTACCAACGCAAAGTCCCTCCGCACCCTTAGCTCGTTGTACCCTACCATACCCAGAACAAATAGAGTAGGGTACATCAGGGGGTAAAATGGATAAACTCCATAAAGTTTGAAATACAAGTGCCTTGTAAATTTATTTTGAACACGTTCCAACATGACGCTGTATTTCGCCTCGTGCGGTGCCCATATAACTGCACTGTGCTCGAGGTGACTCCGCACTAATGTGTCATACAGTACCCTGAGTGTCGTGATGTTGGTGAACCCCTGAGTTTGTCTGAGTACAAAGCCCAGGTTCCTGTATGCCTTCCTACAGATCTTATTGATGTGTTCACGAAATGTCAGTTCTGGAGTGAAGACTACCCCTAAATCTCGTACCTGTGAGACTCGTTGCATCGGCTCGCCTTTCACCCTGTATTGATGCCACAAAGGAGCCCTAGCACGAGTAAATGACATCACCGAGCACTTGTCCACGTTAAAGTGAAGTCTGTTGACATTACTCCATTCAACCACTCGATTAATATCATCCTGCAGGCGTTCACAATCCGAGCTATCTTCAACCTTGAGTAGCAACTTCAGGTCATCTGCAAACAATAAACAACTCCCATGCCTGACAACTTCCGGTAAGTCATTTATCATTATGATGAACTCAAGAGGCCCTACATTGCTACCCTGGCTCACGCCCGACCTAGTATAGTACGGATGAGATTCATATCCGTTGTAATCTACATACTGTTGGCGATCCTTCATATAGCTAGCGAAAAATTGTAGTAGAGGCAACGTACATCCAACCTTCGCAAGCTTTCTCAGTAAAACATCATTATCAACGGTATCAAATGCCTTTCGAAAATCAAAGTACGCGGCATCCACCTGAACTCCAGAGTCAACTGACGGCACCACCTGCACCATAAAGTTGAGTAAGTTAGTTGTAGTGCTCCGTCCCGGCCTGAAACCATGTTGCGCATCGGATAAACATGCTCGCACTTGCCCCTGCACGGAACGCTGAATAGCTGACTCTAGTACTTTAGCAGGCGTCGATAGTACCGCCACCGGTCTATAATTACAAATATCAGGACCTGTTTTCCCTTTAGGAACCGGAATAACGCGCGTGGTCTTCCACCTGGAGGGGAACCTCGCCTGTTCCAAACAAGTGTTAAATATGTGTAGCAATGGCTCCGCCAGCACCCTCCCGCAGTCTCGAAATAGAAACGCTGGAATACCATCTGGACCAGATGATCGTTTCGGTTTCAAATTTCCAAGCGCCTGCTGAACCTCCGACAGACTTAGCGCCTCGATATGGACCCGCGAACTGGTCGCGCCAGCCTCCGCTAACGCCGCGCATGCGTCCAGTAC